TTGCCATTGTAGAACTCACGCAAAATTCATATGTCGTTAAAGCAGGACACGCTACTTCTGTCGGCACTTTAAGCCGCCCTCCTTTACAGTGTCTTAGATCGCATCACCTATCAGTACTGTGCTTCGTACTTCGAGATTCATTTTCGAAAACACCTATTTTGATGTGCATGAGAGAGCTGTCCCCTGGAAGATCAACAATTGACGAACCGCACTGACTCTTCTGAAATAATGAACGATTCCTCCAGGACCAGGTTTCACGGCCTATTGGGCCACCCCTTTGCTCCTCGTTGCCTAAGAAGACCATTTAAGCAAGTTACGGCTCCATGGTACTTGAACACTTGCAGTGTCGATCGGCTGCATCTCACATCATTTTGTCCACTGGCACCATCTCTCTTTCATCACGAAGGTTTGTTCAAGAGCTGGTACTCCTCGGATGCTGTCAAATAAGCATCATAAGTTGTCCGCAAGCCCGAGTATGACGTATAACGAATGACTCATTTAAAACCCGATTTCATGGCCAACCAAAATGTCTCCAACTTAGGGCTCCAAAGTTATAGCAAGTATACGAACCACAGAAAGAATTTCGGAAATTAGCCCTTTCTACATTGAAGAAGGCCGAAATGCCGGTACTGATTAGTCACCCGATCGTCCGTATTCTTTGCGTTGTGTGTAAATAAACCGTGTTTGTGTACTATTTTCAGTGTGACCACCAACGGACGGACGAAATACACAATTTTCGCTTACCTTTATTATTGTAAAGATGCTGTTTCAGAAGACAGCCTTTTGCTATTTTCACCTTATCCGCGCAGGTAATTCAAAGTTTGGCGTTGCTGCGTAATTCATAGGCGAATCAACGTACTATGACTTGTTAGCGAGAGGAATGTGATGTTTGTTACAGCAATCAGCAACCTCAGGAATGAATTTGATATGCAGCCTACAACTGCCAGAAAATTTTGGCTTTTAAGTCCGAATTAGCTTTATTTATCGCTGAGTAGTTTATTTTCATTTCATTCGGAAAATCGCATTTGCCCCCTAAATCTCTCCATAAGTTTTACTTATTTGTTCACTTCATGAACTATCCCCTGAATCTGTGGAGTACAGGGGATGTATATACTTATTCGTTGTTATGACAGCCGCAAAAATTTCAATTCAACCCTGATATGATCAACTAATGAGGCAGTGGTAAAAAAAGTATGGCAAATATTCACTCTCTGAAAAGAGTAGCGTCGTGAATGTATCAGGTATGAATATAGGTGTAATGTTGCGAAACAAAATTCAAGCATATATTTCTCCAGTTAATGTGAAAAGCTATTTAATTAAATACGTAACACTGATTCCATTTCAGCGACGTACTTTGCTATTTCATCGGATTGCTAATGTTTGCCACAGTTTGGGTGGCGAAAGCAAAATTATGTGTTCGTGTGTTTGGTTCTACTGAATAATATCATTTCTGTATATCAAAATTTTACCGACTTTGAATGATAGATTATTTGGTTCCTGCGATGTTAGTCATGTGCAATAACAGTATAAAAGACAGCTTGTTAAAATACAGCACATGCAATTCATTTATCAAGTTTAGAGCATTATCGGCGTTTTGGCCCGTATCTCAAGGGGTCTTCTTTCAGACTGTAGTGAAGGTCATCGGTAGCAATTGAGAATTACCACCTCTTTTTCTCCGAAGATGAGCCGCGAGATATGGGTCGAAAGGTTGGTATTGTTCTGTCACCGCTTTGTTTACCTTAATAAACCGTTTGATGCTGCCGTTTCAGTTTATCCGGCGAATAGAATGTCATCATTTTGATTTATGTTTCTCATAACTTTAAGGCATGAAAGCAGTTTTCAAAACTTATTTTCAATCTACATAACAATATGCTTTTTCATTTCCTGCTTTCATTGCAGGTAATTGACTAATATTTTGTACCGGTGACGTAATATTCGTGTATTGCAATACAACATTATTTAACTTATTTATTGTGTGAAGCATTTGTATAAGCAGTGAACTACATTTATGAAAGTATGCCACATTTGTGAAAAGTTACTTTCTTAGACATGGTTTCGGAGGCGAAAGGTTGCTTAGGGAATTCGTAAACTCATAGAGTCAAGGATGAACTTCATTTAACTCGTGACCACCCATGTTTCCTACTTTCAATAGGTTGGACGATCAGCGATGATTAAGTTATTTATTCGAAGTATTTTATTAATCTGTGCTTCCCCGTGAATTAGTTAAAGGCAACTTCAAAGCCTGTGACTGTTCTCTCGTAAGGAGCCTTCGATTGCGAGCAAACGATGCCATATTCTGCCTTTTCTGAAGATGTTACTACCGTTTACAAACTTACTGAATGCTGAAAGGCGACAACCTCGCTTAAATTAAACCGGTGACGGGAACAGTGGAGGTTTCAAACGCAGTCTTCTTTAAGACGTAACCTCGAGATCGGCCTGCAGTTCGAGCACTTTTTCAGCGAAGCAAACCTTTGTTGGCAGCGAAAGGTGATTTTGTGAAACGACTATTCATCGAATGAAATCCTTTCACGATTCGATCGATTTCCTGTGTCACTGCGCTGTCGTTGATCAATAGGACACTGAACGCACTTCCGCAATCGGCTGGTCACTCTCTGTCGTATGGAGCTTGCCAGACATGCAGGCATGCAGGTAGCAAACGTCGAGGCGTTG